CAGCTCACTGCAACTTCCACCTCCCAGGTTCAAGCAATTCTCCTGCCTCAGCCTCCCGAGTAGCTGGGATTACAGGTGTGCGCCACCATGCCCAGCTAATTTTTGTATTTTTAGTAGAGACAGGTTTCCCCATATTGGCCGGGTTGGTCTCAGACTCCTGACCTCAGGTGTTCTGCCCACCTCGGCCTCCCAAACTGCTGGGATTACAGACATGAGCTGCCATGCCCATCACAAAAGGCATCTTTAAGCACTGAAATCTGAGTCATATCTATCAACTCCAGGGGAAGAGAACATTAGAGGTGACAGGTAATGGAAGAAGTGGGTCTTTCTCATTATCTATCCAGTATCACCCTTCTAATACCTTCACATATATTCAGGGCCAAGAAAGCCATTACTGCTCTGTTTTAGAGCAGTGCCTCTAAACAATAGAGAAACTATATCTGCCTCTAGAGCGCAGTCTCAGTGGGGACAGAAAGATTCAGTCCCAATTAGAGAAGAGACTAGAAAACACTCAGAGGGAGACTGCAGACTTGCAGCTACAGATGGAAGAGTTAACCAGAAGGTATTTATCAACCTAAGGACTGCCATGTATGATGTGCATACACAGCACAGTCTCTGCAGCGGGTGGCCCCTGGAGTCACCCTGTGCAGCCTGCACAGCAATATGTGATAGCCCTGCTTAAAAGGGCCTACGATGAAAGCACTGCCTGTTAATAACAAAGCTGTCGCAGCTGAGGTGAGGAAGGGACTGCTTAGCAGAACTAGATGCATAGAGGCAGCAAGAGTAGAGTCTGAACACAGAAAAACAAAGAGACTTGAGACAGGAAGTAGAGGGGATGGGGACCAGGGATGAGGTGGGGAAGGAATTAGTCCATGAGTGGAGGTGCAAAAAGTCAGAGGGTAGTAGAGCCTGGGGGGATAGGTGCCCAGACAAGGTCTCATACCTCCCTGGGCTGCTCTCTCTAGGCAATTTCAGCGCCTCACTCGCTCCTACTTCAATATGGTGTTGATTGACAAGCAGGGCATCGACCGAGACCGCTACATGGAACCTGTCACCCCCGAGGAAATCTTCACATTCATTGATGACTACCTACTGAGCAATCAGGAGTTGACCCAGCGCCGGGAGCAAAGGGACATATGCGAGTGAACTTGAGCCAGGGCATGGTTGAAGTCAACGGAAAAGCTCCTCTAGTTAGCTGAAACTGAGACCTAATAAAGGAGGAAATGGTTTCCCACAGTTCTAGGGACAGGACTCTGAGGTGGGTGAGCTTGCCAAATCCTACAACGTTTCCAGGCATTCTTTTAGGGCTGTTTAATAGTTTCCCTAGAAGCTAGGTAGGGACTGAGGACAGGCCTTGGGCAGTGGGTTGGGAGTAGAAGTTCTTCCTTTCCTAACCCGGGCCCCTGCCCAGCTCTCCAAAGTCTTTCAGAAAAGTAAATCCTAAATTCACTCACGAACTGGCTGTTTTAACTGGTTCCTCTACCCTGAGGTGACAGCAGAGGGCAGCATGAGCACAACAGAAACCAGCTTACACTTTAAGCAAGTGTAGCTGGATTTTCCTTATAGGATGAGGTAGCAGGGTACAAAACTTTTTTTTTTTTTTTTT